TACTCAGTGGGATTACTCCCTTAGAGAGCCTGACAAAGGAGGTTGGGCCCCACTAACCCAGACTGCTGGAAAGAGAGAGAGAGGAGTCTGTCTTCTCCTCTCCTCTCCTCTCTCTCCTCTCCCCCTCCCCCCTGGACTGGGGATAGGGATTGAATCTAGGCCTTGCAAGTGCTCTATCACTGATGTCAGGCTCTTAGTCTCTAGATGAATATTGTGTATGGTAGAAAAGGACAGGTTTTGACATCAGTTCATTGCATTTAAAAGTTTTTAAGATACAGGGGCTGGAGAGATGGTTCAGCAGTTAAGAGCACTGACTGCTCTTACAGAGGACTTGGGTTCAATTCCTAATACCCACATGGCAGCTACGAACCGTCCTTAACTTCAGTTCCGAGGGAATCCGAAGCCCTCTTCTCACCTCCGTGGCATTGCACAACATGGATGCACTCACATACATGCAGGCAATACACTCATACACATAAAATAAAAATAATATATAAAATATTTTTAAAAGTTTTTAAGATAGGTATAAAAGCATGAATAAATCCGGAGAAGCAGAATGAGCTTTAGTAAGCAGTTGTTATTCAGTTTTCTGATGTCTTTCTTAAAGTACATAGTGCTGCAGCTTCAAAAGTTTTTTCTTCTGCCAGCTAACAATTTAATCAGCTCTTACACTGTTTTATCTTTAGAGTGCATAAATCTCTTGCCTTTTTCAATTAGGTCTTCCTTCAGCTTTGTTAAATGTAGACTTCGTAGTCACTTGGCTTGCTAAAGGATTTGTTGTATAATTAGCCCCTCAATTGTTTATTATTGACACTGCTATTTATATATATATATAAATTAAAATTGTCTCTCTGGTTTGATACCACAAAGGAGTTTTTTAGTACAACAGAGTAGTGAAGCATAGTAAAATTCAAGATGAGTTGAAAATACTTTCTTTTGTTAAGTAGGAGAAAAGTGTTTATGAAAGGGAAGGTGAGGAAGGAAAACCTCTTAAACACCCTTGTGTTTGTGAGAAAGACTGAATAAAGTCAAAGATGTAGAATTTGATTTCTTTAAAATGTGTGCCTTTGAGTGCTCAGGAGGCAGTTCAGTGGGTAAGAGTGCTTGCTGTGCAGGCATGAGAAGCTGAGATTGAATCCTCAGCACCCTCATACAAGCTGGTATGGCTTCCAGCATGGGGGCGCAGAGATAGGTGAAACCCGGGGGCTTGTGAACCAGCCAGCCTAACTGAAACAGCAAGCTTTCAGGTTCAGTGAGAAACCTGCCTGAAGGAAATAGGTGGAGCAAGACTCTCAGTGTCATACTCTGGTCTCCATGTGCATGTGCATGTGACCAGAATTCCAAGGAGGATTGAGAATTTGTCGCCAGTTCATGTTACATAGTGAGACCATATATATATATGAGAGAGAGAAAGACGGGAAGCCTAAAATATATATCCTAAGGAAATTCTGGTTACTAATAAATGTGTGAAAATGTTCTCAAAACTCCTTCCTAATAGGGAAATGTAGATTTAAAAGTTGAACATTTTATGTTCTTGGTAGTCATAAGAATTTTTTAAATGTAGAGAATAATGATAGTTGGCAGTCAGAGAATAGAGATCTATCCTTATATATGGGTAATAGGTTCTTTTTTTTTTTTTTCTTTGTAGTGCTGAGGATCAAATCCAGGGCTTGCACATGCTAGGCAAGTGCTGTACTACTGAACTGCATCCCAAACGTTACACATTCATCTTTTTTAGATGTCAGTATCATCAAATATATGTCCCATTTAGGCTTAAATCATGTAATATACAACTTGAGGTCAATTTAATATTTAAAAGATGGTAACATGGGGGACTAAGAAATTAACTGTAACTTTTTCAACCCTAACCTAGTAATTAGCATGCAATCCAGCTTTCTTTTATTAGACATTTCTTTTTTAAAAAAATATTTAGTTATTTTTATTTTTTATGTGTATGAGTGTATTGCCTGCATGTAAGTGCACCCATATCATGCAGTGTCCCTGGAAGTCAGAAGAGGGCATCGGATCCCCTGGAACTGGTGTTCTGGATGGTTGTCAGCTACCCTGTGGGTGCTGGGAACTGAACCCAAGTCTTATACAAGAGCAACAATGCTCTTAACCACTAAGCTAGCTCTCCAGCCCCCGAAATGTTTCCTGAGGCTTGCTTTTTGTAAATTAGGATACCTATGCATATTTACGGTAAATTATTTTATCATTGCAACAACCCTGTGAAATGACCATCTTGAATCCTCATTTTGTAGATTTGGACACTCAAGTCAGAGAAGTTAAAGAATATGATCTTGGGACTGGAAAGATGGCACAGCCATTAAGAGCATTTGCTGTTCTTCAGAAGAGCAGTGTTTGGATCCTAGCACCTGCATGTGGGCCCACACAACCTCCTATAACTCCAAGTTCCAGGCTATCCAATGTCCTTTTCTGACCTCTGCCTACACACATGTGGCAAACATTCATACAGACATGCATACAATACACATTAAAAAATATTTTTATTTTATGTGTATGAGTGTATTGCCTGCATGTATGTGAGTACACCCGTGTCATGCAATGCCACAGAGGTCAGAAGAGGGCTTTGGATTTCCCTGGAACTGGAATTAAGGATGGTTTATAGCCACCATGTGGGTACTGGGAATTGAACCCGGGTCCTCTGCAAGAGCAGTGAGTGCTCTTATGTGCGGAGCCATCTCTCCAGCCCCAATACACTTTTTTTTTTTTTTTAAAAAAAAAGAATTTGATCATATTCTTTTAGCCAGTGGTGGAAGAGCCTAAATATAACACTAAAAGTATTACCTTAGTTACAGTGTCATTAGATAGTTGATAATTTCTTTTTGTTACCCAGCATATTTTAAATTTCTTCCATTAAAATGATTTCATAATATATATTAACATTTTAAAATCTAATTTCTTCATTATTCTGTGAGTCTGATAAAGTGAACACTTCATTAGTGGAAAGTTGTACTTTCTTCCCCAGAGGATCTGAAGAGGCAAAATGCAGTGTTGCAAGCAGCACAGGATGATTTGGGACACCTTCGGACACAGCTGTGGGAAGCTCAGGCAGAGATGGAGAATATTAAGGCGATTGCTACAGTCTCTGAGAATACTAAGCAAGAAGCTATAGACGAAGTTAAAAGACAATGGAGAGAAGAAGTTGCTTCACTTCAGGCTGTTATGAAAGGTAAAGACAAAGAAAGATTAGTTCTAAGATTATCAAATTCTGATGATTGAGATCATTTTCAGATGGCCTCAAACTGTATCCTTAGTTCATTTGTGGCTTTATGTAGTGTTGTCAAGATGTCAGATAAAAAGGAAGTCAGTGGTGGTGTACTTGGGCATGTTACCAGTGTCTCTTAACAGACTTAAAAACGAAGAGTTAGAATGAGTGTTAGAGAGATAATATATTAAAGGAGGACTGAGATTACAGGTAATATTTAAAGCTGAATTTAAATGTGGATTTTTGTTTGTTTAGATTTGTAAGAAAAATATGTATTTGTGAAATCTTTAGTTGCTATGGAAGAATGGCTTAGGGGATGAAATGGACTTGTGGAGGGCCAACTTGTGGCTTCTGATCTGAAGGCAGTGCAGTAGTGTAGCCCGTTTCCTTCCAGCACACATGCTTAATTACGTAGAATGACAACATGAAACAAGTTGTTTAAATCTAAATAATATATGGCAGATTTATTGTGGAAATTTATGATGATGAAGTAATAACATCCTTATTTCTTCTCATAGTAAGAACTAGGATTCTTTTTTTCAGTGAATTAAAGGTTTTCTAAACAACTTGGCACAAGCTCTCTATGTAACTTAAAGCTTGTAATGTACCAGAGGTTTTTTTCCCCATAAATCTTAGACATGAAAACGTGATGTTTTGTAGAAACAGTTCGTGACTATGAACACCAGTTTCACCTTCGACTGGAGCAGGAGCGAACACAGTGGGCACAGTATCGAGAATCTGCAGAGCGGGAAATAGCTGATTTAAGAAGAAGGTTGTCTGAAGGCCAAGAGGAAGAAAATTTAGAAAATGAAATGAAAAAGGTATGAAAGAATATAATATGTTCAGTTATAGAATTTTTTCAAGCTAAAGCAAAGTAACAAATATTGTAGAGCTAGAAGTTATGCTTTCTGTTAAAAAAAACTCTTGACAGCTGGGCATGGTGGTGCATGCCTTTAATCCCAGCACTTGGGAGATGGAGACAGGTGGAGCTCTCTGTGAGTTCAAGACCAGCCTGGTCTACATAGCAAGTTCCAGGCCAGCTGGTCAAAAAGACCAAAAGGGAAGAAAAAAAAAAAAAGAAACTCTTTGACATTGACCTAAGTATAGTACATAGTCCTAAGTAACAAACTGCCCTCCCCTAGATAATATGTTAGGCTAATTGCCTTATCTTCTTCAGATCTGTGATAAGATGCCATTCTTCATGAGGCTATTCTGACCTCCTTATCTATGATTGCAACCTGCCTACCTCTTTCCCAAGCTTCCATGACTCTCCTGATTTCTTGTATCCTGCTTCAGGTTTTCTCTTTCCATAGCACATTTTCTTAGAAAACAGAGCTCACCTTCTGGTATATTTGCTACTGCTTTTGTCTGTTGGCTAGAATGCAAACTCCATGAGGGCATAAGCTTAGTTCCTAGAATAGTCTCTATAAGTAGATGCTCAGTAAATGCTGAGTTGTTGCCCGATAATTGTGTGATTAACGAAAGTTTTGGAATGCTTGTTAATTTTCTTTTTTTTTTTTTTTTTTTTTTTTTTTTTTCCCTGTAGCCCCGTTCCTGTGTAATAAATGCTACACATACTATTCTTGAACAGTACCATAGAATGCCTTAACACAGGGCAACTAAATATGAGACTTTTTTTTTTAAGAAGAAGCATTTCATTACAGCTTTAACATACTCAATAACAATTTCCAGAGCAAAGATATATCTCTTTCAAAAGTGGCTATAAAATTTTTAGGTTCACAGTTGGGTAAATACAGTTATACTATATTGAATTCAGTATAAACCCTGTAAGACAGAAAATTGAGTTTTTAACCTTTAAAAATCTCCATTTCATTTTAAAATATGCTGTTTCTTACAGAAAGACTCATTGTTTTTTCTAATAACGACATTTTATTATTGAGAACATTTTAAACGGCCTTTGAACATCTTGATTACAGAAATTGTTTTATGAATTTATATGTATCCATATTTTTCGAAACAAAATAATGGACTGGAGAGATGGCTCAGTGGTTAAGAGCACTGACTGCTCTTGCAGAGGACCCGGGTTCGATTCCCAGCACCCACATGGTGGCTACAAACTGTCCTTAACTCCAGTTCCAGAGGAATCCAAAACCCTCTTCTGACCTCCGCGGCATTGCACGACACAGGTGCACTTGCTTACATGCAGGCAGTACACACATACACATAAAAAAAAAAAAAAATAATAATAATAATAAATAGGGGCTGTAGAGATGGTTCAGTGGTTAAGAGCAGTGGCTGCTCTTGCAGAGGACCCGGGTTTGATTCCCAGCCCGCACATGGCGGCTACGAACTGCCCTTAACTCCAGTTCCAGGGGAATCCGAAGCCCTCTTCTCACCTCCACGGCACTGCATGATACGGGTGCACTCACATACATTCAGGCGATACACTCATACACATGAAATAAAAATAATAAATAAAATGTAAAAATACTGTAATTTTAAAGAATGATGACTGCTGATCTTTGGCTACTTGCCCTTGCTCTGCTCTTTAAGAATTTGCATAGACAGCATTTCACAATTACCACTCTGTCCTTTAAAACATTCTGATTTAAAAATTAAATCTTATCTTTATAAAACCCATTTAGTCTATGTGTATGGTGGGGCATGTATGCATATGGAGGCCAGAGGTCTCTGTCACCTGTCTTCCTCTGAGCTTCTCCACCTGTTTGTTTGTTTGTTATTTGTCTTTTTGTGACAGGATCTCCCTGTAGCCCCAGCTGTCCTGGAACTCCTCCTGGACCAGGCTGACCTTGATCTCACAGAGATCCTCCTGCTTCTGCCTCCAGAGTGCTGGGACCAAAGATGTGCGCCATCATACCTAGTGCTCTGACAGTTCTTACATGCATACAGTGTATCTTGATTATATCCACTTCCAATTTCTCCTTCCTACTTCCCCTGATTTACCTTACATTTTGAGACAGAGTTTCCCACTGAATCTGGAACTCAGCTAGGCTGGGTGGCCTGCAATTCCAAGGAATCCTCCTATTCTCGCCTTCCACTGCTGGAATTACTGATGCGTGCCAGTACACCTGACTTTTTGCATGAGTCCAAACTCAGGTCCTCATACTTAAATGTAGTGAGCACTTTATTGACTGAGCCATCTCCCCAGTCCCACTGAAATTTTATTTTTATTTTTTATTTTTGAGATAGGGTCTCACTATGTAGCCCTGACTGGCCTGGAACTCACTTAGTAGGCTGGCCTTGACCTCACAGAGATCTGCCTGCCTCTGTCTCCCAAGCATTGGGATTAAGGAGAGAACCTGGGTTCAATTCCCAGTACCCACATGGTTGCTAACAACCATTCAAAACTCCAGTTCTAGGGAATCTGACACCCTCTTCTGACCTCCTCGGGCATTGTATGACACAGGTGCACTTATGTACATGTAGGCAATACACCCATACACATACACACACAATAATAAATATTTTAAAAGATTTATTCTTGATAAGGATTTGTGAAGGTGATACAAAGTTCAATGCCCAATTTTCTTAACATTTCACATGAGTATGTTGTACTTGTTATAGTTAATGAGTTAATGTCAATTCATTATTAGCAAAGGTCCATTCTTTGTATTCAGAGTGTATTAGTTTTCACCTATTGTCATTTTTTTCCTGTTTTGAGAATTCCATCCAGGAGGCTATATTGTGGTTAGTCATGCGGTTACTCCTCTTGCAGGTTCAGCTTAGCTGTAACAGCTTCTCAGATTTTCTTTTGTTTTTAATGACCTTCTGTCATTATAATAATAATACTATCATGTGTGTGTGTGTGTGTGTGTGTGTGTGTGTGTGTGTTTCATTAAAAAGATAAGGGGGCTATTTTGAGTAAGAGACCAATGGAGAGAATGAGACAAGAGGTTAATGGTTGAGGTTAATGCATTTTAATTATATGGTACACTGGAATGAAGACATTTTTGAAACCCACCATTTTGTAAGTATAATGAATATATATGCTACTAAAAATTCTAAGAAAATAAAGGAGCTTAAAAGTTAGAAATTGGTATTTAATTTTATGACTGCTAATAAAGTATCTGGTATAGTTCTTATATTGATTTTTAGCAAATAGATGAGCCAGAAAAGCAATAAATTAGTAAGTTGTAATATTTAATTCATTATAACTGCAGGCCCAAGAGGATGCTGAAAAACTTCGTTCTGTCGTGATGCCCATGGAGAAGGAAATTGCAGCTTTGAAAGATAAACTGACAGAAGCTGAAGACAAGATTAAAGAGCTGGAGGCCTCCAAGGTTGTGAAACATTGTAATCCATCTGCCCTAATGCCAGGAGCAAAATTAGAATCACTTAAGAGGTAGTGGTGGGGAATCATTTAGACGATACATCTTCAGACTGACTTTTGTTTAAAATATAAAAAACCATCAGACGTGGTGGCACACACCTGTAGTCCCAGCACTTGGGAGGCAGAGGCAGGTGGATCTCTGTGAGTTCAAGGCCAGCCTGGTCTACATGGTGAGTTCCAGGACAGCTGGGGGCTACAGGGAGATCCTGTCTCAAAAAAGACAAAAAAAATTTTTTTTATATATATCCCAAACTTGCATTGTGATAATTTTGACCTTGTGAGTATGTTAAATCAGAATGATGATGATGCACAATGACTACTTGTGCTCAAAGTTAGTGTTTATTTTATCAAAATCAAACTTAATCTGATTTTTAAAAAAAATTTTGCTAAACAAATGGGCTTGCCTTGAACTTGCTGTGTATCCCATGTATCATTTATGTGGCTCTGGGGATCAAATCCAGGGCTTCAGGCATGTTAGGAAAGCCGTCTGACAACTGAGCTGTAGCCCTAGCCTTAATTTTCTTACTTAGGAAAAGAAAGTATTCAAAGTTAACTTTGTTTTCTCATCTCAGCTCAATTTGAGATGATCTTTTAGAGATGAGGCACCTATAGTATGACTAAATTGTTGGTTATGGGATGTAGCAGTGCTGGGACTGTAACTCAGTTGGTGTAGTCCTTCTCTAGCATGGGCGAGGCCCTGGGTTTGATCCTCAGCACTACATAAACTGAGCATGTTGACCTACGTCCCCAAATCCTAACCTTAGAGACAGAGGTAAGAGGATCCAAAGTTCAAGGTCATCTTCAGCTACAGTAGTGAGTTTGAGGCTAGCCTGGGCTACATGAGATAGTTAAAGAAAAGAAACAAAACAAACAGAAGACACCAGAGGAAATATTAATGGAGTGTTGGAATATTTAATTCTTTTTATAGTGCTGAAGATTGATCCTAGGACCTCTTTGAATGTGCTAGGCAATTGCTTTACCACTGAAAGAGATTAGAGGTATAACTCAGTGGTAGAGTACTTGCACTTTCTAGTATGCATGAGGGCCTGGGTTTGATCTCTAGCACTGAAAAGTATTGAAAGAAAACTGGAGGACAGTGAGATAGCTCAGTGGATAAAGGCGCCTGATTCCAAGCCTGAGACTCACATGGTAGAAGGAGAGAACTGCAAGTTGTCCTGAGGACACTCCTGGATCTCCACATGTGCACTATAGTGTGCGTTGCACCATACACACACGTACATACACATGCACACAAAGTAAAATGTTTTAAAAAGTGATCGTAGAAAAAGCGGTTTCAAGAATGTTCAAGCCAGAGGAAAGAAGGCGGGGAGGAGTATGGAGAGCTGAAAGCTGACTTCTGAGCATGACATAGCTGTTTCACTCTTGAACACGTAGCTATGAATACCTGTACAAGATTGGGCCCCCAACTCTGTCATAGAAGGGGAAGGTCTCATGGTGCCCCACACCTCTGTGTAGATTCCTATGTAGTTAATGGTTGATGGACTTGGAAGAGACATTTTCTTCAGTGGTGTAACCACTAGTCAGGTGCCCATGCTCTTGGAAACAAACTCTCACCCATGCTCCTTTAAACATCCGTAATGAAACTCATAGGGTCATAGGGGAAAGACATGAAAGTAGAAGGGGACTAGTTGGGAGAGGAAGGGCATTAGTGGGAGCCTGAGGGAATAAGAAGGTAATGGAAAGTGAATTTGATCGAAATACATTGTGATCTTATGTACAGGTAAGAAAATGTCATAATGAAACCCACTATTATATATGATTAGTATATGCTAACACAAAGTTTAAAAATAAAAATAGGAAAGAAACAATGGAAACATTATCAAAGTAGGAATATAGAAATAAGTGGGAATGTATCAATAATTCTACTAAATAGTATCAATAAGTCTTCTAAAAGTTGATCACATTGAACTTTAAGAATCTGGCGCTAGGGCTAGAGAGATGGCTCAGTGGCTAAGAGCACTGACTACTCTTGCAGAGGACCGGAGTTCAGTTCCCAGCACCCACCTGGTGACTAACCACCATCTGTAACTCTAGTTCAGGCGGTCCAACACCCTCTTCTGACCATTGCATGACATGGGTGCAGTCAGTATACTCATACACATAAAATAAAAGTAATAATAAAATATGGGAAAAAAAAGAATCTAGGATAAGCAAGATGGCTTAGTAGGTAAGGTGTTTGCCACCAAGCCTGGTGACTTGAGGTGTTCCTTGAGCCCATGTGGTGAAAGGAGAGAACCAACTCCTGCAGTTGTCCTTAAACTATCACGTGCATACTGTGGTACTCATGTACCTACACATATGCACACACAAATAAATGTTAAAATTCTGTATATTTGTTATAAGATCCAACTAAATAAAACACATGGTAAGAGTGAACCTAAGATATTAAACCAGGCTTGGTGGCTCACACTTTGGAGGCTGAGATAGGAGGATTGCTAGGAGTTTGAGGCCAGCCTAGGCAACAGTTCGAGACCTTGTCTCAAAAAATAAAGGAATAAATAAAAATACACCATGTAAATTCTGACCAAAATGAAACTGAGTTGAGCAAGTACTAATAGACAATAGATTAAAGGGGAAATAAACAACCAGAGATTAGGGCAGGAGAGATAGCTCAGTGGTTTACAGTACTTGCTGTCCTTGCAGAAGATCCAGGTTCAGTTCCCAGCACCCACATGGCAGCTCAAAACTGCCTGTAACTCTAGTTCCTGGGATGAGATGCCCCCTCTGGCTTCCTTGTACACTTTGGACATGTGTAGTACACATGAATTTATGGAGGTACGTGCTCATAAAAAATTATAAAGAAAAAAAAAAAAGGATGAAGCCGGGCGTGGTGGCGCATGCCTTTAATCCCAGCACTTGGGAGGCAGAGGCAGGCAGATCTCTGAGTTCGAGGCCAGCCTGAACTACATAGCGAGTTCTGGGTTAGGTGGGGCTACAGGGAGACCCTGTCTCAAAAAAATCAAAAAATAAAATAAACAATAGTGGCCATAAAGAGGAATTCTTCTTAAACTGTTCAGTAGTTAAAAGCTCAGAATTTAGTAGGTTGGGTGACTTGGGCACATTTCTTCATCTTTCCTATCTCAGTTGTGAAATGGGGCATAATGGAGGTGGGGTCCAAAAAGGAAAAAAAAAAAATGTAGATGATATGACTATTTAACTTATAAGGGAAGGGTGTTATGAGGAACATTTATTTAAGTTGGTATAGCTAAACACTTAGGATAGTACATGGGACAAAGTATTATTATTTTCAGATACATTATGCTTTATTTGAACATTATGATATATTTTTTTATTTTCTGTTAACTTTTTTTTCATATGGTCACAAAGGGAGTATCACATTCCAGAGAGTTATGGTTATATAGCCCCAATACTCTGGTCATAGGTTATGTAGTTATTTGCAATAAAATGTCTAGAGATGACAAAAACCCAAGGGAAAGTAAATCACAAAATATTTAATGTAAATATTTCATGTCTTTTGTTGTTGTTACAAACCAATTAGTTTGATTAGGATTACTTACAGGAGCATGGCAACTTACCAGTCGCCAGACCACTGTAAAAAATGTCTTTCACTCTTTCAGCAATCACTAACTACATATAACTCCTCGGGGGGGAGAAGCCCACGTGACAGAATGTTTGTGGGTCCAATCTTGTGTAGATAATCCCAGCTGCTGAATGTTGTAATAGTGTAGCAGCCATGTTCTGCCTGAAGACTGTTCTACAGCATTCTACCGCTTCCTCTGGCTCTTAGATTCTTTCTATCCTCTTCTGTCATGGTCTTGTAAGGAAGCTATAGGTGCCCTGATGAGGTATTTGCATTCAACAATAACTTACTCTCAGCATCTTGACAGGTTGTGAGTACACTGCCTGCTGACCACAAAGAAACAAATTTTTCTGACTGAAGCTTACAGTAGCACTAATCTATGGGTGTAAACATTTAGAAGGCAACTTGACAAGCACATGTCCATTTAGCAAAGCAACAGAAAAGTAAAGTAATAAAAAGATTATTAAACTTTCATCAAATATAGTGAAAGGATGTTGACCAGTGTTAGCATTAATGATGGGAACATTATCTAGTGATCTGTCTCAGTAATTTGGTTTAGGCTGTGGGTTTTTTGTTATTGTTTTGTCCAATACTATACAGTAAGTTTACATAAAGAGATGAACCCAGCCTGGAAAAAGGTGGGTATGGTAGTGCATACCTCTAATCCCAGCACTCAGGAGTTGAGTGCCAACCTCCTTTTTAAAAAATTTTTTGAGACAGGGTCTTGCTGTGTATCTCAGGTTGGCCTCAAATTTAGGGTCTTCCTGCTTCCCTCCCATGTGTTGTTATTACCAACCACCATACTCAATCAAGATTTAAAAAATACAACACTACTGACTCTGGAAGAAACATTGACAAATTTGGCTACATTATAATATAAATTTCTTTGATAAAAGATAATCTGAAAGGTAAAAAGAGAAGCTGCAGACTTTGAGGCAAGATGTATGACTGTGGATGGAGAGATGTGTATATAACTTCAGGGGAGTTAAAAGAGAGGAAGTTGGGCCATTAAGATGGATCAGCCAGTAAAAGTGCTTGTCACCAAGCCTGACAACCTGAGACTGATCCTCTGAACCCACGTGGTGGAAGCAAAGACCCAATTGCCAACCAAAGGACACCACCAAAAGGACAGGTCATATAATATAGCTGACAAAGTTATCATCCCAAACTAACAGAAACCTGCAAAGTCCTTCAGTGAAAACAGGGCTCAGGGAGAAAAAGAGGTGACGCCTATAAATATATAGTCACAAAGCAGGAAAACAGATAATGCTGCAAAACAAAAACAAAACACAAAAACAAAACAAGGTTCAGCCATACTAGGGATGAGGAAAGTACACATGAAAGTGGGATTTTAACCTGACACACTTCTAAATCTTACAGGACAGATTTGTTGAATTCACTCATGGTTCTAGTACATAAAGCAGATCCAGCTGCTCTCACTGTGTGGGACCCCCAGTTGACTGTTGTAGAGTTTTTGGAGTCCTGTGTTGCTTTCTACCTCTTTCTCCAAATACCATCTGTTTTCTGGAAAGGGGACTTTCAGGGGTTTGTCCTCACCCCTGTCTTTGTTGCCTGGATTTTTTCGTAGTTGTCCACGTGTGGTTTTTAAAAATTATCTTTTTTTTAGGTAGGGCCTTAATGTGTACGTCAGACTAGCCTAGAATTTGCAGCACTTCTTCTGAGAGCTAGGATTACAGGCATAAGTCACCATGCCTGGCTCCATGTTTTTTGTTTGAGTTGCAAGGGAGTGTGGAATTCAAGGATATGTCTGTACTCTGCTGCTATATCCAGCATCTTCCTAAACTGATAGAAATGATTAATTTTTAACTGAATGAAAAGTTTATTCTAAGAAGTAATATCTAGTATTAGTGGTTCTATGCCACCTTTTTATATCTGCCACATTGACTGTGTCACTGTCACCTGGTAACAAGTTTGGAGGAAAGTGCCTTACAACACCACTTTGCTATGCAGGGTGATTGTCTTGTGGGTGGCTGACAGCTTCCAACAAAACTAAGCTTCAGCTTGAGTAATCATTTTAGTTTCTAATTTATATAATGGTCTAGGAGTAAAGAGTGCTGAAAACAGGTAAACTGGCTATTTTAAATTTGAAGAAATTAGATAGCACATGAAAATGACCTTGAATTTGAAATTAGATATAACCATTTGAAAAAGTTGAAAGTTACCTAAATGTTTAGAGTTTGGGATGGACAACTTATATGACAGGGTAAAACAAGTGACACTTTTATCCTAGAGATTATCTGGTAGTATTGCATTTTATTTTGGTTATACCTTTTCAAATATTAGACAATATTGCTAACAGTCTGAGTATTGTAGTTGTTCACCAGAAAATAAACATACTGAGGCTAGAGAGATTGCTTATCAATTGAAAACACTTGTTGCTCTTGCAGGGGATCTGGTTTTGGTTTCCACCATCCTCAAGGCAGTTTACAACTGTCTTTAACTCCAGTTCCAGGGGATCTGACACCCTCCACAGGCACTGCACACATGTCGTGTACTTAGGTACATGCAACATGCAACCTAATAATCATACATGTAAAAAAAAATTTTTTTTTTTTGGTCTTTTTGAGACAGGGTCTCCCCGTAGCCCCAGCTGTCCTGGAACTCACTATGTAGACCAGGCTGGCCTTGAACTCACAGAGATCCACCTGCCTCTGCCTCCCAAGTGCTAGGATTAAAGGTATGAGCTACCACGCCTGGCGTTTACATGTAAAATTTTAAAAATGAATAAAATATATAAAAGAAAGAAAATAAACATAATGGAAAGATGTGTTTTAAAAAAATTCTGCACTTTGCATTTGTGCAATTGTAAAGAAACTGTTTTTTTGACATGACTTCCTCTCAAGTTTTTTTATTTTTTCCTTCCTTCCATCCATCCATCCATCCATCCATCCACCCATCCATCCATCCATCCATCCGTGTGTGTACATGCCACATCTGCAGGTCAGAGGACAACTTGTGGCACTTGTTTCTTTCCTTCAACCATATGGGTCCAGGGGATCAGTCTCAGGTTGTCAGACTTGGTGGCAAGAACTTTTACCGACTGATCCATCTCAAAGGCCCGACTTCCTCTCTTAACTCCTATGAATATATGCATTGGCCAAAATGTGTCCTTTAATTTAAGACATTTGGAATCACTGTCTTTTCTTTTTTCAAAAGAAAAGCAAGCTTATAAGAATATATCATTTCAGCTTTAGGAATTCTCCTTTAAAAAAATAAATAAGCTGGGCATGGTTGTGCACATCTTTAATCCCAGCACTCAGGAGGCAGAGGCAGACAGATCTCTGTGAGTTTAAGGCCAGCCTGGTCTACATAGTGAGTTCCAGGACAGCTGGGGCTACAGGGAGACCCTGTCTCAGAAAGACCAAAACAAACAAACAAACAAATAAAGCCGGGTGTGGTGGCGCATGCCTTTAATCCCAGCACTTGGGAGGCAGAGGCAGGCGGATCTCTGAGTTCGAGGCCAGCCTGGTCTCCATAGGGAATCCAGGCCAGTTATGGCAATAGGGAGACCCTGTCTCAAAAAAACATGAATGAATGAATGAATGAATGAATGAACGAACGAACGAACGAACGAACGGACTGGGGAGAGTTAAATAGGACCAGAGCTTGAGTCCTAGAACTCATGTTAAAAAAAAAGCTGGGCATGATGGGGTACACATAATCCCAGCACTGGGGAGGTGCCTGGATCCTGCTGGCTAGCCAGCCTACCCTACTTGGTGAGTTCCAGGCCAGTGACAGACTCTGTCTCAAAAAAGAAAAAGGTGGCTGCCACCCAGGGAATGATACCCAAAGTTGTCTGGCTTATACACACATAGACACACATGTGCATTGTGCACTCACACTTACATGCAAACATATCTAGTGTTATTGAATAGGGGAAAAAACAAGCATATGCATGCGTTTCTTGGAAGTGCAAAATTGGAAATACTGTTTTTGAAAAAAATTATTTTAATTTTATGTGTATGTGTGTATTGCCTGCATGTAGGTAAGTGCACCTATGTCGTGCAGTGCCCAAGGAGGTCAGAAGAGCCTGTCGGATCTCTTGGGACTAGAGTTATGGACAGTTGTTAGCTGCCATGTGGGTGCTGAGATTCAAACCCAGGTCTTCTGCAAGAACAACCAGTGTTTTTAACTGCTGAGCCATCTCTCCAGCCCCGGAAATACTGTTTTTTAAACCATAGTATAAAAGCATTACATACCATCTCAACTGTATATGTACCCAGGAGCTGGGATTATGGATAACATCACTTTCTAAATTAGTATCATTGTATGTTTTAAAATATAGCTGTTAATTTTTGTAAACATAGAAGTAAATATACATAACTTATTTGCCATGTACATTAGGATTATAAAGTTCAGTTTTGTAGAGTTGCATCTTCTTTCAGGTTAAAGAACTGAATCATTACTTGGAGGCTGAGAAGTCCTGCAGGACTGATCTAGAGATGTATGTGGCTGTTTTGAATACTCAGAAATCTGTTCTACAGGAGGATGCTGAGAAGCTGAGGAAAGAGCTGCATGAAGGTAAATATATGTTGTGTATATTTTTATTTTACTCAGAATTATGTAAGTCAAGTTCATGTTGACTAATGGCAGTAACAGATCCTAAAATATCAATGCAGTATGTTAGTGATTCAGGTTAGCTCTGCAGTCAGTTTGAAAGCTCTTGTGAAAACATGCTAAAGGCATTTGGATTGTGAGTGGCTTCTCTTTTCTCCATGATCACAGTAATAACTTCACAAGACATGATCTCTAGGCATAAAGATAATAAGGTCAGAAATTTTCTGCTTAAAGTGCTTTTTCTGAACAGCCATTTAGGTGGAAATGAACTAGCAAAAGTGAGAGTGTGGTAGAGAAACCCCCATAAACTACTCTGCTTTTTAAATTTTTTATTTGTGCGAGAGCAGCCAGTACTCTTTAACTGCTGAGCCCATCTCTCAAGCCCCATATCTTTGCTTTTTAAAATCTTATTCTATTTATTTTTTTATTTTTTGGTCTTTTTGAGACAGGGTCTCCCTGTAGTCCTAGCTGTCCTGGAACTCACTATGTAGACCAGGCTGGCCTTGAATGCACAGAGATCCGCCTGCCTCAGCCTCCCAAGTGCTGGCATTAAAGGCGTGTGCCGCCACGCCTGGCCTCTATTATTTTTATTTTATGTGTATGAGTGTATTGCCTGCATGTATGTAAGTGCACCCATGTCGTGCAATGCACACAGAAGTCAGAAGAGGGCATTGAATCCCCTGGAACTGGAGTTACATATGGTTGTCAGCCACCATGTGGGTGCTGGGAATTGAACCCAGGTTCTCTGCAGGAGCAGCCAGTGTCCTTAACTGCTGAGCCATCTCTCTAGCCCCTATTTTGCTTTTTAAGGTATAGTTTTGATTTCACTTGTGAAGTAGCATGTTAGGCAAGTAGACTCTGTATTTTTCTCAGATAGTTACTAAAAGAAGCTGGGTATGGTGGCATATGCCTTTAATCCCAGCACTCAGGAGCCAGGGGCAGGTGGATCTCTATGAGTTCGAGGGTAGCTTGGTCTACATAAAGAATTCCACAAATGGCAATAAAAAACCCCAAACAGGAATTGCAGAGATGGCTCAGCAGTAAGACCACTGGTTGCTCCTGCAGAGGACCAAGGTTCAGTTTCTAGCACCTACCTGGTGGCTAACAACCATCTGTAAATTCAGTTCCAGGGGATCTGATGCTCTCTTTTGGCCTCCCTGGGCATTGCACATATGGGTGCACTTACATATATGCAGGCATCACTCATACACATTAAAAAAGCAAACAAACCCACAAAAATCAAATACCTTCAAATAAAGTGGTAAATGTGTTGTTGTCTGAATACATTAGGTAACAAGGTATAGTAGCATATTTAATGACTGCAATTTTGTGGTAGTGATGAACATATAAATGATAAGATTTCTGAAACTGGATGCAGTGGCACACATCTTTAATCCCAGTTCTTGGGTGGCAGAGGCAGGCAGATCTCTGTGAGTTTAAAGCCAGCCTACTCTACATAAAGAGTTCCAGTACAGCCAGAGCTACACAGTGAAACCCTGTCTCCAAAAAAAAGGGGAGAGGTTGGAGGGAGAAAAAAGTTAAAAACCAAATGGGCATGGTAGTGTACAGCTATAATCCCAACACTAGGGAGGTTGAAGCAAAGGAATTGTAGTAAGTTTGAGGCCAGCTTTGGTCACACAGTGGGACCCTATTTTAAAAAACAAAGCAATAGGGGCTGGAGAGATGGCTCAGCAGTTAAGAACATTGGTTGTTCTTGCAGAAGACCCGGGTTCGAATTCCAGCACCCACATGGCAGCTAACAACTGTCCGTAACTCCAGTTCCAGGGGATCCGACAGCCTCTTCTGTCCTCTGTGAGCATTGCATGACACGGGTGCACTTACCTACATGCAGGGAATACACGCGTACACATAAAGTAAAAATAATAAATAAAATATTTTTAAAAAAATCAAAGCCGGGCGTGGTGGCGCACGCGTTTAATCCCAGCAGAGGCAGGCGGATCTCTGAGTTCAAGGCCAGCCTGGTCTACATAGTGAGTTCCAGGGCCAGCTGGGGTTACAGAGAAACCCTGTCTCAAAAAGACCAAAAAAAAAAAGCAATATAAAAACACCTCTCCAAACAAACAACAAAACCCCAAACAAAAATTCCACAAAATTAAATACCTACAAATAAATATAGAATGATAAATGTACTGTTAATACATTAGATTACAAGGTATAATACTGCTTAAAAATTTTTTTTGGTTTATTTCAACATCATTATTTTTACTTGTAATGGTTTTAAAATTTTTACTTATGTGTATGTGTGAGTACTTGCATGTATGTATATGTACCATATGTGTGCATGGTGTCCATGAAGTCTAGAAAAGGGCATCAGATCCCCCTAGAACTAGAGTTTCAAACAGCTATGAGCGGCTATATGGGTGCTGGGAACCAAACCCAGGTCCTCTCCAAGAGCAGCAAATACTTCTGAATGCTAAGCCATGTCTCTAGCCCCTAGTAGCACGTTTAATAATCACTGCAGTTTTGTGGCAGTGATGAACATAAATTTAGGATATTTGAAGCTGGGAGTGGTGGTGCATGTGTGCCATCCCAGCACTTGGAAAGCAGAGACAGGAAGATCAGAAATTAAAGGTCATCCTTGGCTACTTGGCTGCAGTTAGTGGGTTGGAGTCCAGCCTAGGATAGAGACCTTTCCTCTCTCCCCTGCCCACAAAAGACAACTCTATTGAAATAGGAAAACATCCGTTAATTTTTGTTGGTGCTCAAGTCATAGGATGGTTAAGTTACTGTGGTTTGTTGCCTATATTTTACAATAGCACAATGGAAAGTTATAAATTTAAATTAGAAGATAGTGAAAATAAAGATATAATTTTAAAAAAGTCTAATGAATTGAAGGCTAGCCCTGAACTCACCAGGAAGTCTGACCTTGAACTTCTGATCCTCCTGCTTCAGATTGAGTGATAACATTGTAGGCATGTGCCCACCATACCTCGTTAACATGGTGCTGGGGTCTAACCCTGACTTTGTGCATGCTAGGCAGCACTCAACCAAATGAGCTCCATGTCCAGCCCCCACCTTTTTCTTATACCTTTTTCTTATTCTTTAAAATCATAATTTGTTGTAGGTTATACTAGAAACATTCTTTTTTTGTTTTGTTTTGGTTTGGTTTGGTTTTGGTCTTTTTGAGACAGGATCTCCTTGTAGCCCCAGCTTTCCTGGAACTCACTATGTAGACCAGGCTGGCCTTGAACTCAGAGATCTGCCTGCCTCTGCCTCCCAAGTGCTGGGATCAAAGGCGTGTGCCACTACCATGCCCAGCCCGAAACATTCTTTAATATACAGGATTTCGTTAGCCGTGATAGAGTCCTTTAGCAAGTACTTTTAAGTGTATCAGATGCTATGGAAAGTAGAGAGGTGAATAATTTAAGATTTTATATGAGCTAGCTTTTTTCCCCCAAATGGTTGAAAACTGAAGTGATATATGCCTACAGAATTATTGCATAAAATGTGAAAATCAGGCTGGGCGTGGTGGTGCACGCCTTTAATCCCAGCACTTGGGAGGCAGAAGCAGGTGGATCTCTGTGAGTTCGAGGCCAGCCTGGTCTACATAGTGAGTTCCAGGACAGCTGGGGCTACAAGGAGACCCTGTCTCAAAAAAGAAAAAAAGAAAAAAAAGTGAAAATCACCCACATTTTTAGTGGGTCTTGACTTTCAGGAAACCATTTTTAAATATGCTATTGTAGTTAGACATCTATACTGTCAGTGGGTATCCAAAACAAAGAGAATTCCTGTTTAAACTTTGAGTCCCGACCCTTCTAGAAATAGTATAAGTCACCAGGCATGGTGATATATACTTTTGATCCTAGCACTTAGGAGGCAGGAGCAGGCAGTTTCTGTGAGTTTGAAGCCACCTTAGTCTACATAGCAAGTTCTAGGCCAGCCAGGGCTGCATTAGTGAGAGCCTGTCTCAAAATTTCAAGAAAAAGGAGAAAAAGTAAGCCCCCCAGCCCCACCCATAGTGTAAGTCATTGAGACTACCAAACCTTCCTAAAATATGTAAGGAAAATATCAAAAAGGTTAATTAAAAAGAGAAAGGGAATACAGTAATTTCTTTACTGACATACATCAAAAATAACATCTTGGGGGGCTAGAGAGATGGTTCAGGTACAGTGATTAAGAGTGCTTCCTGCTTTTGTGAGGTACCTGAGTTCGGTTCCTGGTGGCCTGTAACTCCAGCTCCTGTGGATTCAAAACCCTCTTCTGGACTGAATGGGTACCTTTATTCACATGTTGCACATGCACATTACCCCCACCTCCATATTCACATAATTAAAAATAAATATTTTAAAAATATATTTGGGCTGGGTAAAATATATTTGGTAAAATATATTTGGTGGGTAAATCATCATCTGCCATCAACTCTGATGATGACCTGAATTTAGTCCCTAGGACTGCATGGCAGAAGGAGAAAACTGATTCCCCAAGTTGTCCCCTAACCTCCATATACACATCCCCTGCCCACAAAAAAATGAATAAATAAAAATGTAATAAAAAATGAAAATAATGTGTTTAAAGAAAAGAGAGATAAAAATCAAGAAGAGTATAACTTACAACTTAACTTGGTTATTAGATATGCAACCATAGCTATCATCTGCCAGTTAGAGCTGCCATGCTGGCACATGTGTTAGGAACAGCAGTGCCACTGATGGAAGAGTGGCCAGCTCTTTTGGTCCTATAGATGGTTTTCTTTATAAAAACTGATCTTTAAAACTTTTTTTTTTTTTTTTTTTTTTTGTCTTTTTGAGACAGGGTCTCAACTCATGCTCAAATGATCCTTGTGCCTCAGCTTCCTAGCTAGCTGGAAGTACAGACCTGTACTTCCATAACCAGCTGAAAGAAGTGCATCTGGGGAGCTTAGTTTATTATTATCATCACTTTGTTTTTTCTTTTTTTTTAATTTTAATTTTTTATTCCAAAGAGAGGCAATTTTTAACACATTTTTCCAGAAATAACTTGAAGTGGGTTACATAAAAATATATATACAATGAAGTTTAAGGGGGAAAATAGGAATAAGAAATCAAAGACCAAAGGATTTGCCAACATGGGGCCAACTTTGGTGGAGTAATGAAGGATTCCATTAGCTCTGTTCTTTTTTTTTTTGAAGTCCTAACGAGTTTATTGAGCTTACTAACAGAGGTTAGGGTGGGGGTTTATTTACAGAAGAGCGAGTGCACCCCTCATTTACAGCAGGGCTGGAAAATCCACACTCAAATACAGATCCTGTGACTTCCCGATAGCTGCACAAAATGGCGAGAGAGGTGCCTCATGCATGGCATTCTCAGCTTATATATCCTTAGCTCCTCCCACACATGCAGCTAAGGTTGACTGATTGGGTGGGAGGGGTAACTGACTCCCTATTGACTCCTTGACAAGCATGGGAAGGAGGTGTGACTACAGATTGCTGACATAGTGGTCCAAGGACACTTCCAGTTAACACTCCACCCCTTCCTCTGGCTCTTACATTCTTTTCACCAACCTCTTCTGCAAAAGTCGCTGAGCCTTGGAGGGGGTGGTAGGCATGGCAAGGCACTGGACTTCAGGTCTCTGCATCATCTGTCCATAGGCTGTTGGCCCATTTCAGTGGGATTCTATCTACACCATGTGGAGACTGAATCCAGGTGCTCTCAGGCAGACTGCTGAGGTCTCAGCCCCTATACCCAGCAGAGGCCAGATCAAAGCACCCTCAGGCCGTCTGCTGAGTTCTCATTTCCTACCCCAGGCCTGTTTTGTTTTCTGAAGTAGAGTTTTAAGTGCTCTTAAAAAATATGTTTAAAATAAATTTATGTGTATGTGTCTATATATGTGCACATGAGTGTAGGTGCCTGACAGAGCCAGAGACATTGAATTTTCCTGGAGCCAAAGTTACAGGTGGTTGTGAACTGTCCAGCATGAGTACTGGGAATCAAAACTTCTTTTTTCTGGAAGAGCAGTGTATGTCCATAAACCACTGAACTTTCTCTCCAGGCCTCTTCCGTGGTTTTTGAAGCAGACTTATGAAGAGTTTGTTAGGCAATCTGCGTGCAGGCCCATGCGTGCAGCTAAGGAAGGATGAGAAAAGTAGTAGTCAGGCACAGTGATGGCACATACTTATCATCCTCGCACTCCAGAGGTGGGGAAGAGAGCAAGTTCTTGAGCTACAGAGGAAGCCAGTCTCTCTCTCTCCTCCCTCACCTCTCTCTCTGAAAAGAAAGTTCAGTACAGTTAGGATACAAGAAACAATGGAAAAATTGTAATACTACAGTTTTGGACATGGACCAGATGATGGGGAATTTATTCTAAGGAAGTCAGACTTTCTCAGATGGACTGTAATGAGCCTTTAGAGGCTTTAAAATAATTTTATCATATTTTTTCAATACTAGGAATTGAACCTGGGTCTTTTTTAAAAACTATTTTGCTGGACATGGTGGCACACGCCTTTAATCCTAGCACTTGTGTCTGACTTTGCAGAGTTTTAATTTTTAAAATGTATTCATTTTTCTTTATATGAGAGTTTTTTGTTGTTTGTTTTGTTGTGTTGAAACTGTCTCCCTGTAGCCCCAGCTGCCCTGGAACTCACTGTGTAGACCAGGTTGGTTTTGATCTCCCAGAGATCACCTGCCTCTGCTTTCTGAGTGCTGAGATTAAAGGTGTGTGCCACCACCCCTGACTTAGGTGGATGAGTGTTTTATCTGCGTGTCTGGATGTCTATAAGTGTACCATGGATGCAGTGCCCCTGAATGCTTGAAGAGGGCGTTGGGTCCCCTGGAACTGGAGTTATGGACAGGTGTTACGGACCTGGGAACTGAACCCAGCTCCTTCAAAGAGCAGCCAATGTGTTTAATCACTGAGCCATCATCTCTTCAGCCTCCTTTGAAGGATTTTAAACTGTAAAATTTCATTTTAGAAATTTCACTTTAGCTGGATATGATGGTGCATACCTTTAATCCCTTCACTTGGAAGGCAGAGGCAGGTGGATCTCTCTGAGGCCAGCCTGGTCTACATAGGAAGTTCTAGGCCAGCTTTGGCTAGAGGGAAACTCTGTCTCAAAAAGACCAAAACAAATAAACAAAAAATGTTCAGCTTAATACTGTCGTGAAGGATGAACATGAGGCAAGGTTGAGGGTGGGAGAATGAAAAGGGACTTCTGTGTGGTAGTCTCCTGTCATAAGGGCGTCTGAGGCAGAAGCAGAAGATAATTTGTTACACTGAAAGAGAGGCAGAACTAGTAGATCTGGGTCTTGGCTGGATGTGTTGGGGTAAGGAGTAAGAACTCTCGGTGTTTGGCATGGTGACTGGATAGATGGGTGAATAGATAGTGTTACCTGTTCTTCTTTCTTTAGTGTAATATGGATGGGCTGAGTAGGTTCAACAGCACATACACTACAAAGATTCCTTGGTCCTGAGAGGTCAAAACTAATCAGACTCAAGAAGGATCCCTGGATGACACATTTATCAAAGTGTATTTGACATAATTAGGAATGGCTACAATATTTTGGCCTTTAGAATAGTGTTTCCCAAAGTGTTCTTGTTATTTGAGTTGAATTGTGAAAAATGGTTTGTTTTTTTTTGTCAAATAAGTTTGTAATGATATGCATTGTCCTTCAAGAGAGCATAGAGATAATTAAGTCCTTGAGCTCAAAGTCCTGTAGTAAAGAACCCTTAAAATTTAACTCAAGATTTCTAGAACTTACTAAACAGAGAAGCCCCTTTTCATATATTCCGGAGAGCATGTTTCCAGAGGAATATGCCTTAGAGGAATGGTTTGGAGATCGCCATCATGTTTGATTTTAGGTTGTTCACTGGAGTCAGTCAGAGGCAGTCCTACAGAATAGAATGTTGGTCTAGTAGCCCTGTGCTGAAGAAGTTGCCTACCATTAAAATGCAGTGTTTTTGATTGGGGGGATTCCTAAACAGTTTGCCATCTTTTGGAGCAAGAACGACAACAACACAACCAGTTAAAACACACATGGCAGAAGGCCAATGACCAGTTTCTGGAATCTCAGCGTTTACTGATGAGAGACATGCAGCGAATGGAGATTGTGCTAACTTCAGAACAGCTCCGACAAGTAGAAGAACTGAAGAAGAAAGATCAGGTGAACAGCTGTGTAGGACTCATTTACATTGTTAATGATCATGTGCCTGTCCCCCCATTATATTATCTATCTCATATATGTTAGAGGTTAATTTAAACTGGAGCAAGGTGATGCATACCACTTTTAATTATTTGAAGTCTTGACCATCAAACCTAGGACCTCACTCATGCTGAGCAAGTGATGTATCCTGTGCTACAGCATCTCCAGCCCTCAGTGATTTTTTGAAAAAAATGTAGTGGGCTGGACATGGTGGTGCATGCCTTTAGTCCCAGCATTCAGGAGGCAGAGACAGGTAGTATATCTCTGTGAATTTGAGGCCAGCTGGGACTATATTAGACCTTCTCTTGAAAAAGAAAGGAAAGAAAAAAAAGGGAGGGAGGGGAGGAGAGGGAAGAGGAAAAAACATAGTAGCTAACTAGGTCTGGTGGCACACACTTACAGTCCCACTACTCTGGGCAGAGGCTGAAAGATTTTGAGTATGAGGCAGGAAAAGCCTTGTCTCAAAACAGCAATAGCCAAAAAAAAAAAAAGCATTTGAAAGTTTTTCTTTTTCAGTTTTAAAAATGGCCTCATATGTGGAAAGAAACTGATTTAGAAATGATCCTCAGGGTGCAACAATTTTATTTCTTGAGTTTTTTTTTTTTTTTTGTAGCAGTGCTGTCCAGTTCTCCTAGGATTTCTGAGTTTGCAAAGCAGACCAGAGTTTTGGTGAGCTTGCTCTAAAAGCCTGATTAAGAGGTGATGGGATAGAGCTGGGACTGGTGACCTATACCTGAAATCCCAACACTTACGAGGCTGAGGCAGGAGAAGCTGAGTTCAAGGCCAGTCTAGGTTACAAAGTGACATCTTGTCTCAATAAACCAATCCCCACCCCCACCCCCAAAAGCCAACAGGATTGGAATGGAGACACCAAATGATATGAAAAGATAGCTGCTGTCCAGAATGCTGCGTTCTTAATGTCCTGTCTCCTTATCATTTAAAACATGTATGACAGAATGCATGGAATCTAGTGAGGAATGCTGGGGGGGATACAGATGGGGGGGGTGTCTAAATTTGATTAAGATCTATTGTATGAAATGCATAAAACTCAATAAAATATACAAAAATAAAATAAAAATTGTTTCAATCACATGAATAATATACAAATGCTTTCTCATGGTTAAGGTTGCTTGCTTTAAATTAAAAAAAAAAAAAAATCAGTAAGTTCAAAGTATCCAAGTAAAAATCCTCCTTGAGATCCTCTCCTACACTGCTCTTTCTAGAAGTAACTTCATTTATCAGTTAGGTAGAGTTTTCCATTTCAGTTCTGTGTGTTTGTGAACATATATTCAGGATGCCTTCCCAGTACAACTTGTATTATGTTGTAAATGTTTATCCTAGAACTTACCTTCCCATAAACATTATTCTGGGTCTATATTGACATCAGCGTTCTGACTCATTTTGTTGACTGGTAATGTGGGTGCATCACACTTGATTGAGTCTTTCTTCTTATAGTGAGCATCTAGATTCACTTCCACTCTTGTGCCTTCTGTCATCTCAAATAGTGTCACAGCTAACATCCTTTGGCATATTGTGTATGTCTGCAAATATTTCCCTAGGACAGCTATGTACATGTCCTCTGCTTTCCTACATATTGAAAAATATTTTACTTTAATTTTATTTTAACTTATTTTAATTTATTTTTATTTATTTATTTATTTTGGTTTTTCTGAGACAAGGTCTCCCTGTAGCCCCAGCTGGCCTGGAACTCACTATGTAGACCAGGCTGGCCTTGAACTCACAGAAATCTACCTGCCTCTGCCTCCCGAGTGCTGGGATTAAAGGTGTGCACCACCATGCCCGGCTTGAAAAATATTTTGAATTGCTATGTGTGACTTGGGTTAGATTTTGTTTTAAGGTTTCTTTTTTGAATTTTTTTCTCTTCACTCAGCATTACACATCTTGAATGAAGACATTGTGCACCTAAGCATTTTGATTGCAAAGTACAGCCCTTTATCCCTTTATTCCATTAAGACACTCTTAAGCTTTAGTTTTAAGATGCTGCTGATGGGGCTGGAGAGATGGCTTAGTGGTTAAGAACACTGGTTGTTCTTGCAGAAGACCTGGGTTCGAATCCCAGCACCCACATGGCAGCTAACAACTGTCCGTAACTCCAGTTCCAGGGGACCTGACAGCCTCATCTGCCCTCCGTGGGCATTGCACAGCATGGGTGCACTTACCTACATGCAGGCAATACACACATACACATAAAATAAAAATAAGTATTTTAAGATAGTTGCTGAAGGTCTTCATTAACATTTATTGAGCTCTTACAGTGTGCTAGCATTGTGCTAAAGCTTTATGAAGCTTTACCTTACACACTTCTCAGAAAACAGCAAAACTTTGTGAGGCAGGCACTACTTAGCCATCCCTGTTTTGTTGATTAGGAAGCTGGCTGAAGAAGGAAAAGTTTGAGCCAGACTCTAACCACCTGCCCTTTTGTCCCTGGCCTTCATCTCATGTCCCTGCCCATTTTTCAGTCATGTAATTTCCTGTTACACCAAGCCTTCCAAAGGCTTTGTTTCTTCCTGGAACATTTATCTGTCTCCTCTCACTAGACTGGCAAATTCATCTTGCTAATATTTCAGGATTCAGCTCTAGTGTTACCTCCTTTGGGTCCCCTTTGTTGGCTCCCTTAAATGAAATCAGTCTTTGTTTTTCTCCTGCAGAATCCTGTATGTACCTGTGTTATAATTGTGTGTTTACCCCTCTTCACTAGACATAAAAGTTTATCATATTCATCTTTATAGAGTGCATCACTACTTAGACTTTGATTATACTTTTGTATTTTGTTTTTTTATTTTTATTTTTATTTTTTTGAGACAAGGTCTCACTATGTAGCCTCACCTGGTCTAGAACTTGCTATGTAGACCATCCCAGGCTGACCTCTTTATCTCTCAGAGATCCACTTGCATCTACCTCCCAAGTGCTGGATTAAAGGCATACACTACCATATCTGGCCTTTTGTGTTTTCTATGTCTCACCTATCCTATGTTTTCCTCTTTCCCTCCCTTTTCCTCCCCTCCTCCCTTCTCTCTTTTCTCCTTTAGATTTTATTAGACAGGTTCTTATTATGTAGCCTTGAACTTGTGGTTCTCCTACCTCAGCCTTCTGGTCCTAGGATTATAGCCATGTACCAGCATATGTACTTGTTTTAAATGGATGTGTAATGTCAGAATAACTTCCCATTTTCCATAGTAAGATGGGATTATTCTTTGTAGTTTTCCTTTTTCAATTACTTGGAGTAGAGTGTTTTGTTTTGCCTTACATTCATTCATACAGTATGCTTTCTTTAAAGTTACTTGCTGATAGTCTTACTTTGTGCTTATAATATTACAATGGTTTGTCATGACCAGGGGCTCCCTGTATGTGATTACAAAACAAATAAGCTTGTGTCCAGTTTTATGCTATCATAGAGGTCTCTGCTCTTACTTGTTTCCATTGGTAAAAGAACTGTATGACCTTTTTTTTTTTTTTCTTTTTTTTGGTCTTTTTGAGACAGGGTCTCCCAGTAGCCCCAGCTGGCCTGGAACTCACTATGTAGACCAGGCTGGCCTTGAACTCACAGAAATCAGCCTGCCTCTGCCTCCCTAGTGCTGGGATTAAAGCTGTGTGCCATCATGCTCGGCCGGTATGACTTTTAAGTATAGATTACCCAAGTAATTAATAAAATGTTTTTTTCTTCCTTTTAGGAGGATGATGAACAACAAAGGCTTAATAAGGGAAAAGATCATAAAAAAACAGATACTGAAGAAGAAGTAAAAATACCAGTAGTGTGTGCTTTAGCTCAAGAAGAATCTTCAGCCCAGTTATCAAATGAAGAGGTATAATGAATCTGTAATTTAAATTATTATATATGGTGGGTGGAGGATGTTGAAGTGGGAGGCTTTCTGGAGCTCAAGACTTTAAGGTGCCTCAAAAAAAATTACATACACATTGCCATTTTTAGTTTATACATCAGTGACCTTGTTTATGAGGAAAGTGACTAGCTGAAAATTAGATAAAATGGCAGTATTTTCAGCTGATTTTTCTAGCATTATAGCACTATTTGAAGTGTATTGAACTTTTTTATTCACCATCTGAAATAACTAGATGTTCCTTTTACCAGTATTTCCAAAGTTTCAAGCATTAGAATAAGTCTTTAAATGATGCGTTTTTGTTTTGAAGCAGAGTTGGAGGTTTAATTAAAGAGATTTTTATCCTAGACTTAAGCACAGAGATTAATAGAGAGGTGCTTGGGGAATGATAAGACACTCAGGTGTGGGCATGGGCTTCCCTGGTATCTGAATTATAATGTGAGTTATAAATATTGCTAAATGCTTAGAGTTTTTTAGAATAGGTCTTGCTCTGGAGCCCATACTGACCTTAAGATCACTTCTGCCTCAGCCTCCTAAGTCCTGGGATTGATTACAGGAGCATCCTGCCTGCTCAGGTCCCATTTTAGGTCTTAAGCTTTGAGAAAAGAGGGTAAAGCTTGGCAGATTATCTTGAGGCTTAGACAAACAGTACAGTTGTTGGGAAGGTGTAGAGTAGAGGGATCCAGGGGTACAGTATGTAAGGTGTTGTCCTGTGGTCTGTCCATCTCACACCTACAGTGTGGTGAGGACCTCTTCATTAAGTTTTCTGCCTTCAAACTCTTCATATGCCATTGGATCCTCAACATTATTGTTAAATTCACTTTTTTTAAGTGTGGTTGCAGTTGGACTGCTCTTATACTCAAACCACCACTGACTCCCATAACCTACATCATTAAGTAGAAATTCCTTACTCGGACTGTTGAAGCCATTTATAAGAGGGTTATAGTTTTGGGAAAAAAACTCAATTGTTTGCTTGGGGAGTTGGGGAGTTAATAGTTATTTGTCACCATGTTAGATGCTGGGACCTGAACCTGGGTCTTCTGGAGCAGTAAGTGCTCTTAACCACTGAGCCATCTCTCCAGTCCTCAGAAGACTTTGCATAATAACCACTTTAGTCATTGTCTTGTGCCACACTCTCCATTTCACATGTTGATTCTGTCATCTGAGTATTAAAATCCTTCTATTCATCTTCAAAGCTCATGCTGACACCTCCTCTTCAGTGAAGGAAACAGTTTTATACCTAGTGTCATCAGGATAAAAGTTAAGGTATCCTGCTTGATCTACAAGGGTTTTCCCAGTTGAATAGCCCTTCTAGCTTTATCCTTTATTCTCAGCTCACTACTCAGACTTGTCTGCTTACTGTCCATGCTATTCAGTCTTATTCATATCAACTCTGCTGCTTAGAAATCCATATCAGAAGGACTGTATAGCTCAGTGGTAGAGTGCTTGCTTATCGTGTATTAAGGCCCCATGTTTGATCTCCAGCATTGAACAAAGGGGGAAATCATTCTCACTTTTGTAACTGCCACCTCCTTTCCCAGCTGGTGAAAAAGTTGCAGTGAAGTTGAATAAAGGCATATTCTTTACTTTCACAGGCATCATATTTCTGTTTAGTTTGTAGGTTTACTCTGAGCTACATGTAATATAGTTCCCCAGTGGCTTATATTTTCATGTTTGTCGATAGCCTGACATTAGAAAAGTTTTAAAAATCTTGGTAGATACTGAAAAGTATGATGTCGTTGTTTTTGTACATTCTTTGTTTTGGAGTACACACTAAGGACTGCTTGACCTGATTTGGCTCTGCATTTTTTAATAGTTAAACTCCCAGGAGAATGTCTCGATATTGGGGTTCAGCCAAATATTATATGACATTTGGGTAATGCAGTCATCCAGGAATGCTTGGAAGTCAGGAAAACAGGAAAGGAGAATTTGTGACTTACAATGAAATATTTCTCCTACTTAAAAAAAAAACTTTATTTTTTATGTGTATGAGTGTATTACATGTATGTATGTATATAAGTGCATCCGTGTCATGCGATGCCTGTAAAGGTCAGAAGAGGGAGTTGGATCTCATAGAACTGGAGTTACAGATGGTTATTAGCTGCCATGTGGGTGCTGGGAACCAAACCCAGGTCCTCTGCAAGAGCAGCCAGTATCCTAACTGCTGAGCCATCTCTCCAGCCCTATGTTTCTCTTATTTTTAATTCTGTTTTTTAACAGAGATATCTGGTATTATGTGTATTACTTCCCAACTTTAAAAATCTATTTTAAACTTACCCCTGGGGGATGTAACTCAGTGACAGAGTGGTTGACCAACATGCATGAAGTTCTATGTTCAATCCTCAGTAGTTGCTAAATACACACGTCTGTGTTTTAGACTTACAGACCTGGTATTTTGCAGTTTTGGTGTTGACTGTAATTGCTTTGTGTTCAGAATCAAGAAGTTGTATCTTGTTCACATGTCTAACCTGCACCCTCAGTAGTGCCCAACATACAGAAGACATTTGATAAGTGGTTATTCAATAATTATATGAAGGCAGCAAATTATCATGTATAATGTGTAATAAAATACATGTAATTATGGTAGTTTTTCCCTTTAGGATTCAGAGAATTATCTAACTTGGAAATACATGTTTTCCCATTTCAGGAACATTTAGATAGCACCCATGGATCAGTCCATTCCTTAGATGCAGACATGCTGTTACTATCTGGAGATCCATTCAGTAAATCGGACAATGACGTGTTTAAAGATGGACTCAGGAGAGCTCAGTCTACAGATAGCTTGGGAACCTCGAGCTCATTGCAATCCAAAGCTTTAGGCTATAACTACAAAGCAAAATCTGCTGGAAACTTGGATGAGTCGGATTTTGGGCCACTGGTTGGAGCAGATTCTGTGTCTGAGAACTTTGATACTGTATCTCTTGGGTCACTGCAGATGCCAACAGGGTTTATGTTAACCAAAGATCAGGAAAGAGCAATTAAGGCAATGACACCAGAACAAGAAGAGACGGCATCTCTCCTCTCCAGTGTCACCCAGGGCATGGAGAGTGCGTATGTGTCCCCCAGTGGTTACCGCCTAGTCAGTGAGACAGAATGGAATCTCCTGCAGAAAGAGGTAAGTTATTTTGACCTTTGCTCGTTTTACTCTCTTGTTTTGTGACAGGGTTTCATGTAGCCCAAGCTGGCCTCCAACTCGCTATATAATGAAGATGACCTTGAACTCCAAGGATGACCTTTGATTTTCTGCACCTCTCCAGTGCTGGGATTATAGGTGTGTGCCACCGTAGCCTGTGCTCCTCTCACTCGGAAGGACAGTGGGTAACTCTGGTGTTCATCCTTCAGTAGATAGTTCCTGGAGTCAGTGTAGGCTCATGCTGCCAGCAAGTACGTATTATAAACACAGATCCAGCCTTGTCATAGTCTGCTTTGCCTCTTCCATGTGACAGTCACAGAGAAAGGATCTGGCAGACCAGTGGTGTTGACAAGCGTCACAGTTAAGAATGGCCTGGATTTGTTTTGCAGTTTATGAAAGTCTGAATATATGCCATGATTCACTTACTCATTTTTCCTTTAGTTTTGAAATGCAAATGTAAACTAGCAGCTGATGCCGAGAGTGGTTTTAAGTAGGGGGTGGAAAATAGGGGAGAGAAAAGAAGCAGTCTTAATGAGGGCAATTTTCCTCTGAGTATTTTCAGACTCAGATGATTAGGAGATAAGAACTTAAATATGTATTTGCATACTGCTTTACGGATTTCAGAGCCCTTTCACATACCTCATCTCTTTGAGCTTTATGATTATAATGAAGCAGTCAGGCCACGATTGTCCCCAATTTATGGATGAAGTAACTCAAGCCTTGTTAAATGTTCCCTTAACTCAGTATAAAACCTGGGTCAGAATCTAGGTTTCCTGACTTCCAGTGTTTTCCCCACTCAGGGCTACTTCTCTTTACAGAAACACTTGAGGAATAAACGGAACAACCTTTTCAATCTGAAATGGATGCTTCTCCCTGGTGTCAGGCAAAACATAGAAAGTGCTACTTAGTAGTTTCATACCCAGTGTGTGATTGGAGGTGGGGATCGGCACTGTTCTTTGTTTTCTTCTTTTCCGTTGGTTAGGTAGTGTTGATTTAAACTACAAGTGCACAGTAGAGTACCTTTTGCTTGCTTTGAGTTTACCTCGAATGTAGTGTTTTGTGGCCTTTGGTGATAAGTTCTGTCCCTTATTTTCTGGTTATACTTGTGTGAGAGGTTATGAACTTTTAGAATCTGACCCTATAGTCTAACTTTAAAAAAAAAAAAACTCTGAAGAAATTTATTTTGTGCATTGAGTAACAGTGTTAAGAATGTGCATTTGTTCCTCAAGTATATGATTTAGAATTATTTTGTTCTGCTTGATAAGAGGCAATTTTGGTGCCCTTCAGGTCCATAATGCTGGAAATAAACTTGGTAGACGTTGTGATATGTGTTCCAATTATGAAAAACAGTTGCAAGGAATTCAGATTCAGGAGGCTGAAACAAGAGACCAGGTGAGTTTCATTGGAGACCCAGAATTGTCTTTTTTGGGGGGGGGTTAGGGTTTCACTATGTAGCCCCAGCTGACCTGGAACTTGCTCTGTAGACCAGGCTGGCTTTAAATTCAGAGATCCACCTGCCTCTGCCTCCCCAGTGCTGGGATTAAAGGTGTGTACCATCATACCTGGCCCAGAATCCTCTTCCCCCCCCCAATTTGTTTTCTGAAGTGTATCGATCCTGTTAAATTATGAAATAATCTGGCATGTACAATGACAGGTGATTTCCAGTGAGAGCCCAGTAGGACTCTGAGTGTCTGTGATTCGTTAGCATGCTAACACCATACCAGTCAGCTTAGCCCTTAGAGGAGCACCACCTCATCTCTCCTTGCACCCCATCTACTTGGAGCCCAAACACCTAAACTTGATGTCGGCCCTGTCTCATCCACACCAAGGTCTGCATGATATGGAGATTGGGGAGGTGAGAATTACCATGACGGTTTGACACAATAAAAGCTTAACTTAATCCCATATTAATCAGAATTTGGGCTGTTAATTGCTTACTGCCTACTTGTCATAAATTTGTTGAATTAATGGTAATTTATAGGATCATAGAATTTAGGCATATTTGGAATATGAACATTGACAAGTTTAAGTTATTTTTCAAATGCAGAGCTGAATAATGGGTACATTGATGGCAGTCAGATAATGATGTGGAATTCAGCCAGAGTAGGCTTGAGAAAGCGTATGTAAGGAAAAGATGTTTTTCTTGTATTTCTTAACTGTTCTTTGGTTGTTGAGGACATTATTTATTGTCTTTGGCATCAAAAGAACTTTAAGCAGGTTAGAATGATGCTCTAGTATTTTCAAGTGTCAGTGGCATTGAGCTCCCCCATCTGTATTCTTCTTTGTTGCTAGTTTAGAGGTGAATTTCAAAAGCTATTTACAAAACTAACATAATTGACATTGGATAGTGTGACCTGGGAAAGTGCTGTCTTGGATTCTTTATTTCTGTAGATTTTATATTGATGGCTCTCCTCTGCCTGACATTCTTCTGAATCCTGGCAGTGCAGATACAGGTTTCAGCATTGCAGACCAGAACATCAGAAAAGGCAACACTTGTGTTTGCTTTAGAACCTGGGTTTAAATTAGGAGAAGCGGGACTGGAGAGATGGCTCAACAGTTAAGAGCACTGACTGCTCTTGAGAAGGACCAAGGTTCTGTTCCCACTGCTCACGTGGCAGTTCACGACTGTAACTCCAGTTCCTGGGGATCTGATGCCCTCTTCTGACCTCCACAGGTACTACATGACATGGGTGCACTTACATTCAGGCAATACACTCATGCACATAAAATTAAATAATAATAAATGAAATATTTCTTAAAAATTAGGAGAAGCAGGGAAGGAAAAAGTGTGTTCAAGGAGAGGACAATGTACAAAGTCATGAAAGAATGTTACGTTCTGGGATACATGAATAGTTCAGGTGACTGGTATGTGCTGTGAGAAGAAACTGCCTAGAAAGGTCAGGCTGAGATCAGAGAGGAGAGGTGATAAAGTGGTTTAAGTTTGACCCCAGCACGAGCAGCTTTGGTGGCATTAGGGCCTTTTTTTTTTCCTGGTCTTTTTTGAGACAGGGTCTCCTTGTGGTCCCAGCCGACCTGGAGCTTGCTATGTAGATCAGGCTGGCCTAGATCTCACAGAGCTCTACCTGCCTCTGCCTCCTAAGTGCTGGGATTAAAGGTGTGCCCCATCATGCCTAGCCACATTAGGACTAGGACTTTTAAGTGGGGGAATGGTTGTAATTCACTTTCATAAAATGTAGGGTGTTCATGTGAATTGCAAATCAGAGGAAAGGGATAGAGTAGACAAGGGAGGCCAGTACTGGAACCTAGAGGGCCCATCAGACAAGTAGTTTTCAAATGAGGCCATGTATGTGAAACACTTACTTGCTAACTGTAAAGCATGGCTCAGTTCTTGAGGTTATCCATTTCTTTCTGAATTGACAAGTCTATGATGTTTCTCAGAAAAAAGGAGAAAGATTCTGTCTGGAGTTGGTTTTTGTTTATTTTTTTTCTAATATTTTATTTATTATTTTTATTTTATGTGTATGCGTATATTGCCTCTGTGTAGGCAAGTGTACCCGTGTCATGTGATGCCCACAGAGGACAGAAGAGGCCATCGGATCCCCTGGGACTGGAGTTATGGACAGTTGTTAGTTGTTAACCACTGAGCCATCTCTCCAGCCTCCCCCACTTTAAAAAAAAATAAATTTACAAAATAATCCAGTTGACTTTTTAAATTACATAGGTGAAGAAACTTCAAGTAATGCTAAGGCAAGCTAATGACCAGCTAGAGAAGACAATGCGGGATAAACAGGAGCTGGAAGATTTCATTAAGCAGAGCACTGAAGACTCAAGCCACCAGGTAAGTGAGGGCTTTAGAATGGGGTGTAGGAGGGATCTGAGCTGTTCACATTACATTTAAAAGTTTAAAAGTACAGTTATTTTTTTTGCTCTGAAAATGTGGCAGTTTTATTTTCTCTGAGACAAAAAGTGCTTACTGATTTTTCTATGGTATCTGTTGTATAGGGCTTTTTCTTTCAAAATAATCAGCTCACGAATTGAATGAGTATCTGAGGGCCCTGATTTTTCTTTCCTCTTTTTTAAAAAAATAGTTTATTTACTACTTTTTAATTTTATGTGTATTTTATGAGTGTTTTGTCTACATGTTTGTAAGTACACCATGTGCATGCAGTGCCCCACAGAGGCCAGAAAAGGGTGTCCAGATCCCCTGGAACTGGAGTTATGGACGGTTGTTAGCTACCATGTGGGTGCTGGGAGCTGATGCCAAGTCCTCTGGGAGAATGGCAAGTTTTCTTAAACACTGAGCTTCTCAGTGTTGGTGATTTTTGCTTTGATTTGCCTTGTCTTAGGAGGCAGTCAGTCTGATCATGTTCATGGCCCTCCTGCCCTTTACCCTCTTTGAGTAGTAGTCCCAGTGCAGGCTCAGCTATCAGGGCATTTGTTACACTCTATGGGATGTGTATGGAGCTCAGGAATGAGCTTGGAACTTGTTCTGCCTGATATATAGAATTAGGGGCACTTTTTCTAACTCCCATGTCTGTGATATTACTCCTTTATTATCTGGCTTAGAAGAAGCCTGTTCCTGGCATGCAGCCCTTGAACTTTTTATCCTCCTGCCTCAAACTCCCAAGTCCTGGAATTACAGACATATACCACCAAACCTGGCTTATGTGGTACTGGGGAATAAATCAAATGCTTCATGCATGCTAGGCAAGTACTCTACCAGTTGAACTACATCGCTAAATCCAGTTCAGTTTTTAAAAATATTTTACTTTATTTTTTTTAATGTGTATGTGTGTTCCCTACATGTATATAAGTGGACCTATGTTGTGAAATGCCCACAGAGGTCAGAAGAGGGTATCAAATTCCTTTTGAACTGAAGTTATGGATGGTTGTTAGCTGCCATGTGGATGCTGGGAATTGAACCCAGGTCCTCTGCAAGAGCAGCCAGTGCTCTTAACCACTGAGCCATCTCTCCAGCGCCAGTTCAGGGTTTTTTTTTTTTTTTTTTTTTTTTTTGGTTTTTTTTTTTGAGACAGGGTCTCCCTGTAGTCCCAGCTGTCCTGGAACTCACTATGTAGACCAGGCTGGCCTTGAACTCACAGAGATCTGCTTGCCTCTGCCTCTGCTTGCCTCTGCTGGGATTAAAGGTGTGCGCCACCACGCCTGGCCAGTTCAGTTATTTTTAAAAACAATATACAGCACTTATAAACAATTATACAAGGAAATAGGGTTTTTAAAAAAAAAAAAAAAAACCAATAAGACAATGGGCTGGAGAAATGGCATCCTTCATCCTTGGCTACATAGGGGCCTTTCAAGGCCATCCTGGGTATATGATTTCCTGTCTCAAAAAAAAAAAAAAATGGCTGAACTAATATAAAAGCCCAAGATGAAGCCATATTCCTTATGGTGCTCACAATCCTGGATCTTCTTAATGCACTTACAGGAATTCAGATATGTAAAGTTATGAAGGTTGGATTATTTGAACGTGTTCCCTTCCCCAGTGATATGGTACTTGTGTACCCAGTTTATCAGGTTGTTTGCTTGGTGTATCCGAGACTCTTTAGTCACTCTTAAGGGTAGCAAATTGAGGGTTAAGTGCTCTCAGATGCTCTGCTCTGTGCCACAGCTATTCTTTTTGGAATTGGCACATACTTCTAGAGAAGCATTTCAGACACTCTGCCCCATTCTCTTTGTTAGTTATCCAGTGCCTTCAAAAAACGATTTTATCTGTCTACCTATCATTTTAAAAGATTTAGTTTATTTTACATGTATGATCGTTTGCCTGCATGTATGTATGTATACCACATGTGTGTAGTATCTGTGGAGGCCAGAAGAGGGCATTGCATCCCTTGGAACTGGAGTTGTAGACAGTTGTGAGCCTACCATGTGGGTGCTGGGAACTAAGCCCGGGCCTTCTGCAAGAATAGCAAGTGCTTTTAACCACTGAGCCATCTCTCCAGCCCCATATAGATAGACAGATAGACAGATAGATGATAGATAGGTAGATAGCTAGCTAGCTAGCTAGATAGATAGATAGATAGATAATTTTTTATTGAACTTTTGTGTATTTCATACAGGGAATCACCTTTAGAACCCCTTCCCCTTTGGCACCCCCCATAGCCCCCCCAACTGGAGTTCATACATTCTGTCATTTATTTTAAGGCCTATCATGTAAAGTTAGTGTCCCCAGATGTCTCTCAGTTCAAGTTCATCCACTGGGATCTAGTCAGCTTATCTAGAGTCCCTCCCTCTTAAGAAGATCAGCTCTTTCTCACCTAGCAGTAATCAGCTGCCAATAATTCTACTACGATTGGGGCCTGCTGTTCATTTTCACAGTTCTGTGCTGGGTTTTTGTCTGCATGGGTCTTGTGTATGCTGACACCATTGCTATAGGTTCATATGAGAAGGGTCCCAGGAGCCTGTAGGACTATTTCCATATGGCCATGCACCTCCTCCCTGGCTCTTGTAATCTTTCTGCCCTCTTCCAAAATTATCCCTGAACCCTGGGTGAGTGGATTTTTTTTTTTTTTTAATAGGAGTCTGGTCCAAGGACCCACACTCTGAAGACTCCTATTCTCAACATTTTGACTATTTGCGACCTTTGTATTCCTGGCCCTCTGTTGCATGAAGGAGCTTCATTGATGAGATTGAAAGATGCATTAGTGTTTCCTTTATCCCTTGTTCTATGTTCCGTGAGCCTTAGGTGCAGAAGTTGCACCCTAGATGTGCCATTTAGGCTTGGGCAATTCACAGATAATTTCTATGTGTGACCAATTGTGGAACTCTGTGATTATCTCTGTCTCTTGAAAAAGAAGCTTCATTGATGGGTGGTGACTGGGATACTTGTCTGTAGATGTAAGGATCCATATTTTGCACATAGTAAGAAATTACATTTGTCTAGGGATGTGACAACCTTGGAGTTTTTTCTAAGATCTATGATCTCTCCAGCTATGTATAATTGGCTCTGTTTACACTGCCACACATGAGTTTCCTCCCATTGAGTGGGCTTTAAATTCAATTAGGTAGCTGTTGATTACCCCCAAGAAAAAAGTGTCACTTCTGCACCAATGTCATTTGCTGTGCTGGTCATTGATGTAGTTTTTAGGCCTTGAAGCTGGGTTTGGACCATGGACTGATGTTCTCTCTTAGCCCCAGTCCTATATTTTATGTGTTTATACAGCTTTTCTACTTCTCAGTAGTTTGATTCACATTGCCTAATCTGTCATGACTAGAGGTAAGATTCTGATAATCGTTTTTGAAATCTCTAGACAAAATTACTTCTATTTATAATTTTTGTGTGTGAGTCATCAATTTTCAAATAATACTCTTCCTGGAAATAGTAAAACTAATTCAAGAGTTGAGAGTTTAGTGATGTTAATAGCGTATGTATCACCCGTCAGTTATCTACCTTAGAAGATTATATAGTTAGCTCACAAAGGATTCATTTATCCTTTAAAGATGTGCTTTCTCTCTCCCTCCTCTTTCTCTACCTCCCCCCCTCCCTCCCGCCTTCCCCCTTTTCTTCCTCCTCCCCATCCCTACCTCTCTCCATGACTTCCCTTCCTGACTTCTTGACTTCCATATTAAAAAGGTTGTTTGTTTGTTTATTTATTTATTTATGAATGATATCTGTGCATGTATTGGCCACAGCACACATGTGGAGATCACATTGAGTCTTTCTTTAACTATTTGGGTCCTAGGAATCAAACTCAGGTTTTCAGGCTTGGCAGCAAGTACCTTTACCTGCTAATCCATCTTGCCAGTCCCAGGCTTCCAGTTTTTAATTGATTTTTTTTTTAACTCCTTAAAAATATTAACTGTGGGGTTGGACAGATGGCTTGATGGTTAAGAGCACTTGCTGTTCTTCCTAAAGACCCAGGTTTGGTTCCCAGCACTCACATGGTAGCTAACAACGATTTATAACTACAGTTCCAGGGGATCCAGTGCCCTCTTCTGGATTTTAAGGAGCGTTGCTTATATACATGCAGGCAAAAAACTTTATGTAAAGAAAAAAAAATTTTTTTTAAAACATCTGTAACTAGACTGTGGGTTCTCATCATTCTAGAGACCAATTGCTGCTGTTTGTTGATGTATGGTAGCATACAGCTTGGGCTTTGGTAGATACCCTTCAGTACCTGGAAGGCTTGAAATACAGCACATACACACATTGGTTGAATGAGAGATGAGTCATTCCTGTGGACAACATAAACTGTGAGGGATGGGCTTAAAGGGATGCAGGGGTAGCTTCAGATAAAACTAATTTAGTAACTGTATCTTTTCATGTATGCATTTTCTGTTAAGATCTCTGCACTTGTTTTAAGAGCTCAAGCATCTGAGGACTTACTTAAAGAGTTACAACAGAGCTTTTCCCAAGCACAGAGGGATGTTCAGGAACAGATGGTAAGTCAACATTTTAAATAACTGTTATGGGTGTTTTATTTATTTCTGATTGTTTTACCTTGAAATCATTTTTAATACAACTTTCTTACCCTGTGCAGTGTGGTTACTGTTAAATACTGTAAAGCATATTATTGATAGGTAAGGTAGTGTAAAGAGATCATTTCCTTTTTAAGCAGACTTCCTCATCTTCTCATCTTTATTTTTTTTCCCTTGGGAAACCTAAACAGAGTAAACTATGATAGACCAATATTTAGTTTTCAGTTCAAAATACAGGCTTAAAAGAATTGACATCTGTAACTCAGATGGATTTCAAATGGTCATTGTGCTTTTCCTGGGCAGCTTATTTACTTAGAATAATGTAGTTAATTTTCCAGGATTTATTAAAAATAAAAGATGTATTCTAGGGGTTGGAGAGATGGCTCCGTGGTTAAGAGTACTGACTGCTCTTGCAGAGGACCCGGGTTCGATTCCCAGCACCCACATGGCAACTAACAACTATCCATAACTCCAGTTCCAGGGATCTGACACATTCTTCTGGCCTCCTCGGGCATTGTACAACACAGGTGCATTTCCATACATGTAGGCAAAACACTCATATGCATAAAATACAAAGAAAGAAATTTAAAAAACTTTTTTTAAAGATGTGTTCTAACTGTTGATCTGAGGACCTTCCAGAGGGCCATAAACTGAGGGCTGGGCAGAGCTTGATGAGCAGCAGCTGCTAAGAGCCTTTATGGAGTCCTTCTGAAGCTCGATTCTCCTTTCTTACCAGTCTGACTGTGTTTGCCTTGTTCCTCATTCATCTCAAAGTTGGAACTTTGGCTTGAGTCAATTCTGGTAGAATTGTTCCTTCTGGAATGACTGTGAGAAGCTTTTAAAAATCAAAATGGTGGTTGAGTTCCTAAATTCTGCACTTGGTCTGTGGGAACCCTCAGATCCTAATTATTGTCTGGGAAGTTCTCATTGTTTCCATAGGTAGTGAAAATAATTGTTACATTCTCTCAAAGTTTCATGGAGTTGTCCTCTGTATCTTTTTCCCTCATCTTTTTTTTGGGGTGGGGTGGGGTAGATTGAGACAGGGTCTTACTATGAGCCTTGGCTGACCTGGAACTTGCTATGTAGACCAGGCTGGCTTCAAATTCACAAAGGTCCACCTGCCTCTGCCTCCTGAATGCTGGGACTAAAGGTGTGCACCACCATGCCCAGCCATCTTGTTAAAGCCCATCTGCCTCTGCAGACACTGTGCAAGTCGATTCCATTAAAAATGAATGTAGATTAGGTGACAATGGAGAATTATTGGAATTTAGGCTGGCATCCTTTGAACATTTCATTTTGGCCATTTTCTCAAAATGAATGGTTCTTATGCTGAGAAAGAGAAACTCAGTGTCTTAAGTCCCTGCAGATTTAGGGATTGGAATCTTACTGTTTCCGCCTTTGTATTTTGAAGTTCACATTCTCTGAGTTTATGGAATCAACTCTTAAAAAACTGTCACTTCAGGGCCAGTGAGATAGCTCAGCAGGTAAAAGTGCAAACCTAATGTTTTGTATTAGATCCCTGGAACCCATGGTGGAAGGAGAGAACCAACTCCCAAAAGTTGTCCTCTGATCGCCACATGTCCATGGTTCATGGACACCTGCACTTTCATACATCATGTACACACAATAATAGTAAATAAAATAAAAAATAACTCACCAGGTGTGGTGGTGCATGCAGTTAACTTCAGTACTCGGGAGGCAGAAGCAAGTGGATCTCTGTGATTGAGGCCTGCCTGGTCTGTATAGCAAGTTCCAGGCCATCTGGGGCTACACAGACCTTGTCTCAAAACAAACAAAAAACAAAGCAACTATAACAAAAAAGTCTCCAATTCACCAGTTGCTAACACTTTGCTACATTAGTACTCTAGTATCTGTCTGCTCTTTGCATCTCTGACTGTGTACATGTAGGACTATTGTACAGATACCGTATGTTTGGTTTGTGATGAACTATTTGGAATTAAGATGTAGACATTATGGCACTCCTAAATATTTCAGCATAAATCTCCTAAGAATAAAGATGTTTTACATGGTATCACTATTCTTTTTATGACCTTAAAATTTAACCACTTTGCTGGGAGTGGTAGCACACATCTTTGATCCCAGCACTCGGAGGCAGAGGCAGGCAGATTTCTGTGAAATAGAGGCCAGGTCTACGTAGTGAGTTCCAGGCCAACTGTGGCTATAGAGAGACCCTGTCTCAGAAACAACAACAACAACAACAACAAAAAGTTTTTCTCTAAAAAAATTACTTGTTTCAAAATTCTTTAGTTTTTTTTTTTTTTTTTTTTTTTTTTTATTGTGTATAATGGGAGGTAGAGATACTGCCTTTCTAGTCTTCTGTGGGATACATGTTCTATTTGATAAAGGCCTTATTTATGTCAGCCATTTCCACTGAGCAAAAGATTCTGGTCCTGTTGTGCTCTGGGAGGCAGGAAAAACAGTGGTTATTTCTGAACTATTGGTAGAGGAAACAATGGTTATTTTTGAACTATTGATAGAAATAGTAGAAATGAGCTCATGTGCTTGCCTTGTTGCCTGGCTTCTTGCTGACTGTATATATACACAGAGAGAGAGAGAGAGACTGAAAATAAAAATGGCAGGTGGGTGGAACAGTGAGATGGCTCAGTGGTTGAAGGTGCTTGCTTCCAAGTCTGACAACCTGAGTGAAACCTGGAACCATCGTAAAAGGAGAAAATAGACTCTACATAGTTGTTTTCTAGTCTCTAGTCTCCACACACACTGTGGCACACAAGTGTCTACAATATAAATGTGGAAAAAAAGTTCTGAGCTTTTTTTTTAAAAAAAAAAGAGTCTTGCCGGGTGTGGTGGTGCACGCCTTTAATCCCAGCACTCGGGAGGCAGAGGCAGGCAGATCTCTTGTGAGTTCAAGGCCAGCCTGGTCTACATAGTGAGTTCCAGGACAGCTGGGGCTACAGGGAGACCCTGTCTCAAAAAGACCCCCCCCCCAAAAAAAAAGTCTTGCACAATTTTATTATGTACCCTTCTATCCTTAAACATCATTGTTTGGCCTTGATTTTTCTCTGGTGTGGTTATTAGCAGACTGGATTTACCTTCCAGGCTGTGATCAGCATCTGTTTCTATTTCAGTCAGTGTTGATGCAGTCACGAGAGCAGGTTTCAGAAGAGCTGGTGAGGCTCCAAAAGGACAATGACAGCCTGCAAGGAAAGCACAGCCTGCACATGTCCCTGCAGCAGGCAGAAGACTTCATTCTCCCTGACACTGTGGAGGTAATGTATTGCCACATTGTCAAAAATAGAAACAAGTATATTTTTTGAAATGGTTGTAAGTTCCTTGAAAAAAAATTATTAAAATCAAATTCATATATCAAATAATTTCAACCTTTTTCAAAAATTTATTTTTATGTGTATGAATGTTATGTCTGCATGTGTGTAAGAGCACCCATGTTGTGCAGTGCCTGAGGAGGACAGAAGAGGACCTCAGATCCCCTGGAACTGGAGTTATGGACTTGTTAGCCACCATGTGGGTGCTGGGATTCAAGGCCAGGTCTTCCGAAAGAATAGCTAGTGCTCTTAACCGCTGAACCATCTCTCCAGCCCCACAATTCAACCTTTAAAGGTATAATTCAGCTTTTTAGTGTAGTCACAGGTAAATGCAGCCACTGTTAACAGATATAAAAACTTGTTTTTGTTTTTGACTTTGAAATAAGGTCTGAGTATGTAGTGCAGGCATGCCTCCCCAGGGCTGAGATTCTGGCTGTGTGCTACCACAATTTTAAACATTTTCATCACCTCAAAAATAAACCTCTTACCCTTTAGCTATTGTTCCTGTTCTCTTCCCTCCCAATCTAATGAACTGCTGGTCTGTCTCTGTCTATAAATATTTCCTTATTTTGGAATTTAATATGAATAGACTCATAGTCTTTTAAAAAATCTGCCTTGGCCTCATTACTTAGCATGCTTTTAAGATTTATCCATGTTAGCTGGGCGTGGTGGTGCATGCCTTTAATCCCAACACTTTGGAGGCAGAGGCAGGCAGATCTCTGAGTTTGAGGCCAGCTTGGTCTACAAAGTGAGTGCTAGGCCAGCTGGGTCTACAGGGAGACCCTGTCTCAAAAAGAGCAAAAAAAAAAAAAAAAAGATTTATCCATGTTGTGGCAAATATCAGCCCTTAGTTACTTTTTGTGGTTGAATAATATACTCCACTATATGAATATTTTGTTTATTCATCTGTTGATGAACATCTGAGCTATGTCCACTTTGGAGCTGTTATAACTACGGCATGAATATCCATGTACAAGATCTGGAGCAGGCATGTTTCCATTTCTCTTGAATATAGACCTAATATAGAGTTGCTGCAACCTATGAGAATGCTGTCAATTTGGTATTATGTTGTAGAACTATTAGATCATTTTTTTTTCTTGAATCAACATATTATTAATTACACAAAATAATGAATTTCATCATATTTTCATGCATGTGTATAATGTATTTTTTCACATTCAACCCTCATGACCTTTTCCTCTCACCCAATGATCCCTTCCTCTTCCCATCTAGTCTCCTTCTGCTTTCATCTCCTATGAGTTTAAAATTCTGACTCCTCTTCCAAGCACGTCTCAGTGTCTCAGTGAGGGGTTTATTGGCATTTAGGATTGGATAATGCTTCTTTTGTGGAAACGTATATTACAATTGACAGTTGTGTTTACACATATGAATTTCAGCAAAAGTCAGGAGAGGAGATAAGAATATAATTTGGAACCTGATACGGAACATTTCAAGTCCTGAAGTTATAGAGATCGATTAGGAAGAAAATGTAAATACAAAAGTCATCTATGGATTGACCTGAATCGGCATTCAGGGTCAGTAAGAATTAAACCAAAAGAAACAGTAAGAGCAGGCTGTGAGATGAGAAGATCAAAGAAGAATATTTTATTTTACTTACTGTGCTTGTAGTGAAAGTTA